GTTAACGTTTTTTCTTAGTTCATATCTTAGATCTTATTACTGTTTTTCTTTTACACATATTTTAATACTTTTGTTGGATGCAACTGGGACCCTGTGTACACAATTTCATTCGCACCAGATGCACCACATGTGGTGCGAATGACCAATAAAGAACATTGAATCTTTGAATGAACTTTGATGCTTTAAAAGAAAGTTTTAGTACTTTTGAAACACAAGTGCCACCTTGTTCTTTTGGATTTTAAATGGTGAGAAAATTCATGATTTATTACCATGTAATATACTGAGAAAACTTATGATATATGGTGCTGCTTTGACAAATACTCTGCAAATATATCTAAAATAGTATAACGTGTTTAGACCAAGCTCATTAACCCGGTTATTTGTTGACGGTCCCTAAGAGAACCATCACTCCTCGGAGGAGGAACAGACTGAGATCAGCTGACTGAAATCAGACCGTCTGCGTTGGCTCAAACGAGGAAGCCGCCGCTGAATCCACGGAGTATGAACGTGAAATATCCAAAGTAAAACTAATTTCACCATTGTAGCACACACAGGATATCCTTATATTTAAGGATGATTTCAAAACAAAACTCCATGAACCTCAAATACGGATGTCTGTTCCACTGTTATTGTTGTCTGTGAGAACAAAAAAGGTTAAATCATGTAATCTGGAAACAAAGTTCATGCTCACTCATCCAGGTATCAAATCCAATAATTCGCAGTCGGGTCATCTGGACCAGTTTCTTTGAGGGAGGAACGTTTGTTGTCTGTGAGGTAACACTACATACAGTACAGTATTGCGAGGGAACGCAAAAACTTTTGCGAGGGAATGCAAAAGTTGTTTTTTTTAATCCCCCATGTCCCCTCCGGGGCTCAGTAAAATAGATCTTGCGACATTGTAAAAGCTTATCGAAACAATGCCACAGCGAATACATGGTGTAATCAAAGCTAAAGGCGGTCCAACGAAATGTGTGACCTTTTTTTTGGTGGCTTTTTTTTTTTTGGGTGGGCCAGGCAGTGTATAAATCAACCTAAAGATTTTGTTCTACAAGTTCCGTTAAAATATGTCCAGTAGGAATGCGCAATATAAACGGTACATGGTAGAAATGATAGGAATTTAGCCTGCGATAGACATGTGTCTTCTACCGGCTAACAGCAGTAATGCTGTGTCTAATGTAAAATCAAAGTTGTCAGTTTAATTGTTACTTTTTTTGTTGAAAACTGTGCGTAAGTGGCGTTAAAGTCTTTTCTTGGAGAGCCAAGTAGCGAAGCTACAAGCTAACTATAGCCGGCTTGCCGTAGTGTTCTGATACATGCGCAAAACGCTGTGTTCTGTCGAAAGTTTTATTTTTTTTTTTCTATCGAAAGTTAAAGTAAGCGTTGGTCAGCTGTAGAGAAACCTGCTCTCCGATCTGTGAAAAGAACGCTGTGTTGTGTGATTTTACTGCGAGACCCTCTGCTCAAAGCCACAGTCATTTTGTGTCAGCTCTCCTTAAAGCAGAAGGAGGCGCCCACTAGAGGGCTGGAGGGTGAAGTGTTTCAGTGTAAAATGCTGCTCTGTTGATGTTCATTTCTTAAGTGAGAAGACTGGAAACTGTTAAGAGTTAACAACATATTCTTTTGTTTAAAACATATGGCGAGAACTACCTTTTATATATTTTGCACTACAAGAAAGAAGCCTAATACTTGATTTGTTTATTATTTAAAAACTCTCTGGACCTAGTAGTGGAATTTTTTTAAATTCAAAATATATGATAGCAAAAGGACACCCTATGCTTTTAAAAAAAGTCGTATTAAGTTTTATACCCAAAACATATTGCGATATATATAGCTATCGCCACCCTTCACAATACATATCGTGATATGAATTTTATACCATATCGCACATTCCTAGTGTCCAGTGGTTTATACTTTGTTAACAGGCAGAGAAACTAACACAAGTATCAACCTTTATTTCTACAGGTAAAACCCATTGAGCCTCGAGGACTCATTTACAAGAGAGACCTGATTTAACAAAGAATGATGACAACAATGGACAACAGCAACAACAATAAACAGTTATAAAAAGTCATACTGCAGGGTTTTTTTTGTTTTGTTTTTTAACAAATAGGATGGCTAAAAGGAAAAGATAACAAAAAAAACAAAAAACAGCTAGATTCTAAGGCGAATGTAGGAAACTAAAAACAGGAACATGTCTGCATTGGTCCCTGCCAGGAGTCCAACAGATTCTTAAAGACACTTAGAGAGGTCAAAGGTCGAGAGCTTCAATTGTTTTTGTAAGATATTCCAGGAAACAGGAGCAGAGTAGGAGAAGGTCCTTTTGCCTAGTTCAGTCCTCACTGAGGGAACACTGCAGGTAATAATGTCCTGAGAGCGCACGCTGTAGCTGCACTCACAGAGAGACATGTAGGAGGAGATGTATGAAGGCAGCAGACCAGGAAGTGATTTAAAGATGAAAATGTACCAGTGAGAGAGTCTGCGTTAAGTTAATGATGTCCAGTTAACCAGTGAATACTGGGTGCAGTGGTGGGTACGATAATCACAGCCAGTTATGAATCTTAGTGCACCATGATAGACAGCATCCAACATCTGCAGCATCCAACATCTGCAGGGTTCTTGTAGGAGCGTTCATGTAAATAATATCACCATAATCAATTGAGGGAAGGAAAGTCACAGATACAAGGTGTTTCCTAACATTCAGAGTTAGACAGGATCTGTTTCTGAAAAAGAAACCCAGTTTAACTTTCAGTTTCTTTACCAAGTTTTCCACATGGAGCTTAAAAGAAGATGTGAGTCGACCAAGATACCCAAATATTTATAGGAATCAACAAACTCAATGGGGACACCATTTGAGGATGAAATCGGAAGAACAACTGCTGGGACCAACTTCCCTTTAGTTTTGTCGGCATTTAGGACAAGTTTGAGGTGGAACAAATCAGTCTGGATGTAGTTGAATGCAGATTTCAAAAGCTGGAAAGCCTTAGCAACAGTTTTAGCTCGACAATAAACAACTGTGTCATCAGCATAGAAATGTATGGATGCATTAGGGATGTTTTTACCTACATTATGTATGTAGATTGTGAAGAGGGTGGGTCCTAAGACTGAGCCTTGTGGTACACCATTGTTGAATGTTAAATAACTGGAGGAAGTACCATTATGTTGAACACATTGCCTCCGGTCTGAAAGATAGTTAGAGAACCAACCCATGGTGTGTTCTGAGAAACCAGTTTCTGAGAGTTTATGACACAAGATGTTCTGATCCACAGTGTCAGAATCTTTAGACAGGTCTAAGAAAAGTGCAGCACAATAATCCTTAGCATCCAGTGCTTCAACAACGTCATTAAGAACCTTCAGTGAAGCAGTGGTTGTGCTGTGTTGTTTCCTGAAACCAGATTGATGTGGAGGTAAGATGTTAAATGAGTCCAGGTAATTTTTATTTGAGAGTTTATCAGTTTTTCTAGAACCTTGGCTAAAATGCAGAGTTTAGAGATTGGTCCATAGTTGTTCAGTGAGGGGGGGTCTCCTCCCTTCAGCAAAGGAAGAACAAAGGCTGTTTCCAAGTGTCTGGATGGAGTTTTGTCTTATGGAGAGATTGAAGATGTGGGTCACAGGGACTGTGATGATATGAGCAGCCAGCCTTAAGAAATAAGGTGGAAGTTCATCTGGACCTGCAGATTTTTTAGGATCAAGATCTTTTAACAGTTTATTGACCTCACTGACTGAGAATGGAGAAAAAGAGAAGGTGTGATTAACTGAGGATTGACTTGTAGGAGGGATTTGATTTGTAGAAGTTTGGTTATTAGGGGAAGTGGCTGATCTTCCATTAGTAACTGTGTCAAATAAAGAACTAGAAGCAACAAAATGTTTGTTGAGACAGTTCAGGATCTCGTGCTTATTTGACACAGGAACAGAGTTAACAAGAAGTTGTGATGGGAGGTCAGATGATTGGGGGGTGCCTGAGAGAGATTTGATGGTTTTTCAGAATCTGTTAGGGTCATTTAGATTTTTGGAGGTCTGAGATAAGAAATAGTTGCGTTTTGCTGCTTTGACAGCAGTTATGCATTTATTCCTCATCTGATGAAAACTCAACCAATCAGTGTCTGAGTCAGATTTTCTCGCTGCGGCCCAAAGATGATCTCTCCTGTGCAGGAGGTCAGCTAGCTCTGGAGTAAGTAGGCGCATAAATGGGAAAAAACATTATAGCCCGCCGTTTGACCTTTAGTGGCGGGCAATAACTAACCAGAGCTACTTGTGATGGCCTCAGTAAAGGGGCAGACAGTGCATGCATGTAAGATGAGATATAATATAAGCCTCCCAGCTGTGAACCATCACAGGACAGGGTGGATTTCCACCCTCGCTGTTGACCCTGCTCTTTGTAAACAAAGACATCACGTAGAGATGATCCATCAAGCAAAGCATATGCCCAAAACAAATAATCCGTTTCAAACTGGATGTTTTCGCCTTAGCAGGCCTGCAACCTTCAAGTGCTACAGTAGACTAGTGTAGTAGTACACGCCCTGACTCAAACATTTAC